CCCAAGACAGAATGAGAGGGTGCATTACCGCTTGACCTGCCCTGGCCAGGGAGCCTGCACACACTGGGACAAAAGAGCTGAGGAGATGCCTCAGTGGGGCTGAAGAATTCATAAACTATGAAGCAAACCATAGACATACTGCTCTTTTAAAAAAACAACTTTATTATCCTTAAGTAGTTGTATAAAGGAGGCGCCATTCCACAAAGCGGTTCATGAGTACAGTACGTTCCGATGAGCATTGAACATTCTCACCCATCCCTCCCCCGCCCAGCCCCTCCCTCCCTTTAATTTTAGGATCTGTGTTGAATTCTTTTCCTTTTAACGAAGCAGTCAGCACTTCTAATCCAGGGGAAGCACAGGACCACTGAAGACTTACTCTTTGAGCTGGGGTCAGTTCCCAGGACGCAATTTCCTGACCCGCACTCTGGCTCTCACCCTTGGTGTGAAGCCGTCAGTTCCTGCTGGATGTGGAGACGTGGAAGGGGAAACATTCCATAGCGAAAGGATGATGGCCACAGGGCCCAACACAGGAGGAAACTAGGCTGAGTGCGGACTCCACACGCAGGGGCATGCAGAAGTTAGGGAAAGATCTGGAATGGTGGCCAGAGGAAGATTGCACTGCCACCTTACGTTTATGAACAGATTCCAGAGATGATGACTCTTGGAAGGACAAATGGCCCTTTGGCTTTTGGGATGATCCCTTAGGATTGTTCATTAGTCTCATTAATTAATTGATAAATTTCAGAGAGGTGGCATAGAGTTCAAGGAATAGGATAGAGACACAAGACTAGATGAAAGAATTACTGAGACACCTGGGCATAGGAAGTGGGGAAGAAACGATGTCTCTTTGGAGACCTATGGCACGGAAGTAAGGGTAAAAATCTCTGCTTTCATGGAGGACAGTATCACCATTAGTGTGTGTATGTCTGTGTCTCTCTGTGTGTCGTTTACAAGGCCTTGAACATGGGCCTCATGCTTGCTAAGTACCTGCTGTTACACTTAGATCACACCTTCAACTCTTATCACTCTCATTTTTTTGGGGGGGGGGATCTAGTCATGGGGGGCCTGAACTCTGGGCCTGGGCACTGTCCCTCAGCTCTTCAGCTCAAGGCTAGCACTCTACCACTTGAGCCACAGCACCACTTCTGGCTTTTTTCTTTTTGCTTATGTGGTGCTGAGGAATCGAACCCAGGGCCTGAGGCATGCAAGGCAAGCGCTCTACCACTGAGCCACCTTCCCAGCCCCACTCTCATTTTTTGTTTGCTTGTTTTGTGCTGATCCTGGAGTTTGAACTCAGAGCCCGGGCACTGTTCCTGAGCTTTTTTCTGCTCCAAGCTCATACTCTACCATTTGAGCCACAGTGTCCCTTCCAGCTTTTTGGTGCCTATTTGTAGATAAGCATTTCACACTCTGAGGGATTTTGTGTGTCTGCCTGGCTTTGAACCACAACCCTCAGTTCTCAGCCTCCTGAGTCGTTAGAATTACAGATGTGAACTGCCAGTGCTAGTCCTTATTTAGGCTTTTTAAAGGGATGTGTGTTTTCATGTGTATGTATGTTTGCTTCTATGTGTCTGTGTATGTGTATATATGTGTGTGTATATGCATGATTCTATAATTTGTATAAATGCACATAATTTGTGACAACCCTAAATCTCTTCCTTGTTCAGTGCCACCCAGTGTCCATGAGGTATCCCCCAAGAGTAGAACAAAACTTGGGTGTCTGTTGGAGGATGTTTTCTTTTCATAAGTCATCACTGGTGGTCCTCTGTGTGAAGTCTCTTTCAGCTTTCCTGTGACCTCCCGGGAAGTGAGCAAGGCATGAGCTGGGATCTGATTTCTTACTTTATTCCAGGTAAAATCTATGTGATAGCAGAGAAGCAATACCTGAGCCCCATCTCTCTTTCCCTTCTGTTCTTGGCCAGCCTTCTTCCCCAACATTTGCCAACTTTGTCAAAAGTGAAAAAAGTACCTTAGCAAGTGCTATACGGTCTTGGTAGAAATGGGTAGAAATTTTATATCACAGTGCAAGGGAATCCTAATATATATTTCATACTTATGATTTGTTGCATGAAGATGTACGCTTTAAAATTCCTTCCTTGAGGATGAAATAGAAGCTGTAGATTTTGTGGATAACTTCCAAAGATATTAACTGAGGTGCACCTAGCAACCTAGAAAGAAGAAAATCTTTCCTTGGGCATCTCATAGAGGATAAAAGTTTTGTGTTGTTGTTTTTTGTAACTGCCCTATTTTCTTTGGTATAAATGTTTTTTGGTCTAAATTGTTTTATATTGGATGTATCGTGGATATTGAATTTATCAGGATTATTTTACACAAGTGAAACTTAGTGTGATACATAGGTATTTAAATAAAAATGAATATTACAAATGCACATATCACAAAGTGAATGGAGGGGCTGAAAGTTTGCTTCATTTCAGTGAGAATCTTCAACTGTCTTCTTTCACTGTTGATAAGGCAGATAGACAAATGCTCTTAGCCATGCCTTTCTTGTGTGACTTTCCTCACACTGATTTCTACAGTTTCCATCATAGCCAAATACTTCTTCCAGATACTTAGGAGTCGTATTACATCTAGGGAACTGTGACGAAAATTGCAGTCTTAATAGAGAATCTCTCTTGTAAAGTATACAATTTCAAAAGTTCTTAGGTTTCCCTCGCAGAGAGTCAGACTTTAAGGTTAAACAAAACTCACCCATGCACTCTCCAAGTAAATAGAAATGACAATTTATTGATCTGAAGTAGGTGTAGTTGGAAGGAAAGCTGACATGGAAAGGGGAATAGAAATTTTTCTGTTCGTTTCCCGATTTTAAGAAATGATGTTCGTGGGCAATGTCACATGACACTGTAACAAAATTCTATTCTACAAAATTGTGGAATGTGAGTGGGAGACCAGAGTGTGTGATAAGTTCTGTAAAGCAGAGGTATTTTATGTTTATTGTGAAGAGATTAGTAATACTCTTTCCCCTAGGGTTAGCACACACACTGATTAAATGAGACAGAGAATGGGGACTAAAAGCTCAGTGGTAGAATGCTTGCCTAGCATATCTGAGGTCCTGGTTTTGAGACCCAGCACTGAAAATACACACAAAAATCTGATAGAGGCTGATGTGTGACACCCTTAATAATCAGGTTTTTTTTTGTAAAAAATTGGTCATTCAGGTCATTATGAATTGCATTGTTTTTGACAGAAAACATCACAGCTCCCGGAAATTAACCATATTCGACTATAAATGAAATCAGGAGACGTCATAAAAGGGAATTAGTATATTTGATGGGAAAACTGCTTCTTGGTACATTAAAGCTTGGGGTAGATGATTGCGGGTTTTGTTTAATATCTTTACCTTCTGTGTCCTTGAAAGAATCTTCTTTTAAGGCCAAGCATCAGAGCTCTTTCTTGAGTTGTTTTGTGCTCTTTAAAACAAGGAACGTGGCCCATGTCCAGGTGGTTGAAACAAACTTACTTTTCTAGAGCTCTTCATTTTTCTCCTTCAAATTATGAAACTATCACAGATAAATTTGAGTAATGAGTGGAAATGTTTTTGCCAGTGTTATTACATCAAAAAGCACATTTTTTGTTCCTTCTGTTTTTACAAACATTTATTAGAAGTGTTTTTTAAAAAATATAAGTGCAAATGTATTGCAGATAACTTAAGGAAATTAATTTATAGTCGAGTAATCAACAGATGGCCGTTGTCCCAACACGCTGCTCACCGCTGGCAGCAACGTTTGAAGGCAACCCAAGATACACTGTCATTTCATCTGGAGACATTTCAGTATGTATCTTCCAGAGTTTAGATACACTGCAATTACTGCACTGAATAAATAAGCAAAGTTTCTTATTATAAAAGTATATTAGAAATAGTTAACAGTTTTTTTATTCAATCAGGATTCAAAATCTTATCATTAATACATTTCTTAAATTTTTTTAATCTGTATGTTACCTCTATCTGAATTTTGTTCCTTCTTTCAATGTCTGATTTTTTTCCTTTTTTTAAAAAGTAGTTGAATAATCTGGGCACCAGTGGCTCACACCTATAATGATAGCTACTCAGGAGGCTGAGATCTGAGGATTGTGGTTCAAAGCCATTCCAGGCAGGAAAGTCCCTGAGATTCCAATAAACCACCAGAAAACTGGAAGTGGTGCTGTGGCTCAAGTGGTAGAGTGCTAGCCTTGAGCTGAAGAGCTAAGGGACAGTGCTCAGGCCCTGAGTTCAAGCCCCATGACTGACAAAACTAAATAAGAATTTAAAAAGTAGTTGAATGAAGGGGTTTCAATTCAACATGTCACTTTATGAGTACCATGCATCTGGATCAATGTTACATCTTCCATCATTCTTCATACTCTCCCCTCCCCATCCAGAGTTGCCTGGTTCCATTTTTACATCTGTACATTAAATATTATGACTATTTTTGCTTAGTGCCCTACACTATTTTCACTAACAAGGCCCTACTATATACAGTTCTATACTCTCCCTCTAGTCTCTCAAAGTTTTGAATCCATTAATGGATTGAAACATTCATTATTATGAGCTTAGGATATTCTCATTACCACATCCAGATGTGTTCTTTACTAATCTGGTAGATGTTTCCTAATCCAATAAATTTTCCGTCAAGATTAGCCATCATACTAGCTCTAGAATTCTTAGACATGATATAGATAAATAACCTTTTACTAGATTGTCAGAGAAAAAATGGACAGAGTAACTTTTAAATTGCTTTGGCTGCCTGATTTTCTCTCCTTCTTCCAGTCCTCAAATTTGCTTATAAGGTGGTAGGAAGTGGCGTGCAATAACTGCCCCTTGGGACTGCAGAATGTGGCATCTTCCATCTCCTCATCTCTGCTTCCTGTAAAACAAATCTCTCCTGGGCTACTTGTATGGAAATTTATAATTAACAGTGGTCATTAGAGGTTAACATCTTTTTTTTTTTCTGTAGAAGACAAAATTGTTTAAGTGAAGTAAGCCAGGCCCAAAGAAACATAGGTCCCATGGTTTCCCTTATTTGCAATAACTAGTATATGTCTGGGACAAGCAGGAAAGGTCAGATAAGATGATGTTAAGCGAAATGAACCCAAAAATAGGGACACAAGTTGTTTTTTCTTTTTTGCTATTTTTTCTAACATATTTATAAGGTACCATGTGATTTTTTTGTTGTTGTTGCTTTGTATGTCCCTCCCCCATGGTATAACCCCTGTGTTCACTGTATTTGATATTGATATAATTTGGGGAGCAGAAGGGAAAAAACAAACTGTTTAAATAGGGATACAGGTTGACCCATTGCAACAATGAGATGTACAAGACGCTATGTTGAAAAATGAACTTTACAATTTAGTCGGGGGGTCGGGGGGGGGGCTGGGAGGTAGGGAGCAGGTGTGGAGGGGATGGGTGGGGAGGGGGGAGTGTAGTTGTGGAGGTGGGAGGGAAGCGATGGTAGGAGAAAAAGGAGGAAGCAACAATGCTTGATAAGAAATGTACTCATTACCTTGCTCATGTAACTGTAACCCCTCAGTACAGTATTTTCACAATTAAAAAACATATTTAAAAAATTGTTGTAAAAGGTGTTAAAATATCTTTATAAATGTATCTATTCTTTAGATAAGGAAATGGTGTAAGAAAATGCATGTGTAAATGTATATATGTATATATATATGCACACACACACATGTGATCTACCCCAGGCCTGTAATTAGCTTTAATTTCATTTAAATGTGCCTTGAGGATATGATAGAGCAATAGCCTTGAGCACAAAAACTCAATCACAGCACCCAGGTCCTGTGTTCAAGCCCAGGACTGGCACACACTCAAAAAATAGCTTGAAAAAATAATTTGAATACATTTTATATCATTAATTTACATTTGACTTTTATAATTTTTAAAAATTACAAATGTCTTTATTCTTTTATTAATCAAATGTAAAGTACATACTGAATATGTGCCAGAAATGTAATCAGCATTGAGGTGACCAAGACAATTAAGATGAAGTTTACCTGGAAATTGCTGTCATTCAAGTTAAACAATAGTCTTATAAAATATTCCCAACTCAGTCTTTCAAAATCTTCTTTTACGAGATAGAGAAAATGGAGGCCCTTATAATCAACCATTAATGTGAGAATTAAAGATGCATAGTGTTGTAAGGAACGAGAGTGATTTAACTCCATGGAAAAGACTACATTTTTGCGGGGGAGGTCTGGTCGTGGGGCCTGAACTCTAGGCCTGGGCAATGTCCCTCAGTTCTTCAGCTCAAGGCTAGCGCTCTACCACTTGAGTCACAGCGCCACTTCCGGTTTTTTTCTTTTTGCTTATGTGGTGCTGAGGAATCGAACCCAGGGCCTCATGCATGCAAGGCAAGTGCTCTATCACTGAGCCACCTTCCAGTAACAGAACATGAAAATGGCATGGGTGTCTGCACGCTACAGAGAGAAGTCTACTCCATTAGACAGTTTTTACAATCTAAGAAGTCATGATTAATTTCTTGAAGATGAAAGTGGAGAAAAGAGGCAAAAAGCCAGAAATGGAACTGTGGCTCAAGTGGTAGAGTATTAGCCTTGGACAGAGCAAAATAAAACAGAATGGAACAAATCCCTCAAGGACAGTGCCCAGGCCCTGAGTTCAAGCCCCGGACTACCAAAAAAAAAAAGTACAGATTTTGAAATCAGATGGCCCTGCTTCATATCTGGCTCCAGTACCAGTTTTGTCAGCAAAGAGAGGTAATGACATCTGAGAACCAGTATCTTCCCAGTACAAAGGTGTGATAACCTTTGGTAACTAAGTAGACCCAGGGAAGTATCTGCAGAGAGCATCCAGGCACATAGGACACACAGTAGATGCACAGTGAACATCACTTCCATTCCTACTCGACACTCATTTTATGTCATGGAACTTGGGGCATCCATAATTGAATGGGAAGTCTCTCCTACAGTTCATAAACATGAAGAAGAAATGGTACATTTGATGATATGGCAGTGATCAGCATACCAAAAAATAATACCACAAATAAACCTAAAGGTCAACAACTGAGAGAGAAAATTTTATACACATGCAGAAATACATTAAAATGGATAAAAATACTCATAAAACACAAATAGGAAAGTACAGAAATTACAACACAAAGTCCAATAGCTATTTTTAAGCCATTTTAAGTTCCTATTTGGGCAACTCAGTTCCTGTGTTTCTGAACCCCTATCTGTAACCAACAAACGTCACATCAGATTTCCAGAACTTTCTGCCAGTCCATAGCCATTTCTCTACCAGCAGCTCAGGTCTTAGCAGCTGGGTGTTGGCCTTTGTAACTTGGCACTTCTCGGTCTAACTGAAGCAGCACACTGTAAGCTGAGAATGTGTAAGGTGGGATAGGATCATGGAAATGCTGTCCACAGTAACAAAGCCATCATGTCTGTGCACTGACAGAGTCTAAAAGTTGTTTGTGGATGCACAAGTCTTTGCAAAGGGATACCCATCTGTCCTTGTGAATGTCCTTGCTTTGCTTTTTCACATGATTTTTTATTTCCATCTTCAGAAGTTGAATTGAATGCTGGTGGTTCACACTTGTAATCCTAGCTACTTAGGAGACTGAGACCTGAGGATTACAGTTCAAACCCAGCCTAAGTAGGAAAGTCCATGAGACTCTCATCTCTGAATAATCACCCAAAAAAGGAACAAAAAAATGGAAGTGGAGCTGTAACTCACATGGCAAGATGCTATCCTTGAGCACAGACGCTAAGGAACAGCATGCGGGCCCTGATTTCAAGTCTCAGGATCAGCATGCACAAAATAAACTAGGACTATATAATTTCAACAAACATGACTTACTTATTGGAAGTGGTTGGGTGAGATTGAATTTCTGCACTAGGCCCTCCAGACCAGAACAGGCCCAAAAAGACTCAAACATGCTAATGCCACACAAATGGAAACTGTCAAGAAGCAGATCTATCTCTAAACCGGTCAGTTTTCCCTGAAACAGGATTCTAGTCTTCCTGAGTCAGCAATAAGGAGACCCCTCTGCTTTAATTCTTCCCAGAAAAGTAACTTCAGTAACCTGGTGTTCACCTATGCGTTATCCAGCTTTTAGAGCTCATTCTTCTGCTTTTGCCTTATGGGACCCTTATTTTACTTCGTCGAATAGAGGCTGCCCTGATCAATGGACTACAAATAAAAGCCCATTCAATCTGTAACTAAATTTGTTTTCATTTTGTCTTTTGTCAGCAGCAGCTACACCTGAATAGGTAGGGAGAAATGACTGCTTGTTAAGAACTCTAGTTGAGGTCCTATCCTATAACAGGCCTGGGTTTTGGTTGAAGTATTTAAAAACAAGCATATATTATCTCAAGCCAGCTAGTTGGCAAATCACATTTTAAATCCATCGTTTGATTTGGCATCATTATAATATTAACGTGCAATTCTCTTAGTTATGAACTGTAGCAAAGTTTCATTCTCTGGGAAAGCAGGGTTAAAAGAACACAGTTTGTGAATAGGCATTTGGTCCTTTTGTGATGTATGAAGACAGGATCTCAGGCAAGTGACAATGGCAGTGTTCAATTGACTATCATGCAACCCCCTTGTTTTCTTCCTTTAATTTTTTTATCCTTGTCTTTTTATCACTGTCTACAAATATTTCAATTCAAGCAGCTTCCCACCCTTCTGGTTCCTAAACTTCAACATCTGCATAAATCTGAATCTGCCAACCTGTACTTTTGCGACCCTTAGGCGAGTAGCTCAGCCCTGTGCATGCATATAAGCCCTGCAGGATTTGCCATGGCTACTGCCACAGGGCCATCTCTTCTCTCTTTATCCAAGGAAGAGATATGGCAATAACAACATTGCTCTACTAAGTGTAAGTTGGCCTTGTCTCTTCCTGCCATGTTTTTGTATCCTTATGCCTCCTCCCAGGGAAAATAATGAGTGAATGTCTTTATCATAAAATATGTCTGAGCACATAATTTGTCATTATTTCTGGGTTCAAAACAAACACCAGTATATTCTCACAAGAGAATTATATATAGCATTTGAATATCATACACTAAAATTTATAGTGTGTTATAACGCTGTTGATGCTAGGAATAGTAGAGTAGGGATAATAAATATATCACATTACTCACAAACTGTGTTAGATTAAATAGGAGTAGAACAAAGTGGATATCTTTTAAAAACCTGAAAAATATTAGAAAATGATGACGTGTCGAATTTGATCATTCACATTCTTGATTGGGCACATATTGAAGCTGATTTTCTTTTCTCTATCACTAGAAGACTTTACCTTCCATAGTTTTTGGCAAATCAAATGTATGTATAACAGTTTTTCAGGTGACTTGAAGAAAGGCTGATTTTAACTTCTGGGTAAGGATTTGTAAGTCGGTTCTTGGTGACCTACATTTCCACTGATCAGTGTCCGAAATCCAAATTATCAGTCATATGGAATGGAATGTGTTGCCAAAAATGTAGCATCTTAATGCTAAGGGATCTAAGTAATTTGATTAAGCTTATCAAACATAAGAACCTTGTGTCAAGTTGTAGGTATGAATATGAATCAAGCTAAGTCCAAAAGAATTGTACCGATAGGAAGAGAAGGAACAGAAGATCCTAAGCTAGCAGTTAGAAACCCCCACACTCTACTGGAGAAATCATTGTTTACACTCTATTTAAAGAAAGTAAGAGATCATGGTACAAGTGACTAGGAATGGTCCAGGATATTAAGGTGATGGATTTCCTGGTTCTCATCTGATGCAGCAAGCCAAGCAAATATGATGGAATGGAGGAAAAGTAAATTCAGGGGGTTGCCTTGAAAAACCTCCGTGTTTCTGGCACCATCTGAATGGAGACTTGTTTGGCTAAGTCAGCCCTAAATACTGTCTCTTATCCATCATGAGGCTGTGGTTTGGATGACTTTCTTACTGGGTTTGTATGCAACTATCAATGGATAAAATAAGAGTTCCCTGTCCACCACTGGGAGGATATTTTACCTAAAGAGAGATGTTTTTCAAGGAAGTGGAAGACAAGTCTA